GAGGGAACGTCCGATTTTTACACCGTTTCCATCAGCTGATTCAAGCTCCGACTCTCAACGAACCCAGCAAGCGGAGACGGATGCTAGTGGGCTAAACTAGTTTGGACGTTGCCAACCTGTTGATATACGGAGCAATCGACACACCGAGGTCAGTATATGCTTGCAAAACATGGCCAGTCATAAGGACAGATATTATATCGCTCGAAGTCTTCGACCGTTAGTGTCTTTGACGCTTCTAAAGAGTTTCCTGACAGGAGCGACTTTCTAATGTTAAGATATATCAAATACCAAGTCTAGCGTCATATATCCAGCATCGCCGATTACATTGTTTTGACGACAGCTATGGATTAACTTTGAGCTTTGCTTTCCTGATAACCTATTCTAGATCTTTCATTGAATTCTCATGAATAATATGGCGTGTTAAACCATCAGAATTGTCAGTGTTTCTATGGGGTTGCGAATGTAAAAATTACCTCGTAGACAACAGTCTGTTCGCCATTCTTTAACGTAACCTCAGTCCGAGACATGGCCAACTGAGGATGTTCCTTCACGAATTCAATCGCGGCCTCCTCAACAAAATCACTGCCTACAACAATCACGCCTTTCTGGTAAAGCCACCGCATATCGACTGTCTTTCCGCACAATGGTACATAGATGTGAGTGAAATTGTCAGTAGGATGGAGTTTGTCCCAGTACTCTATGAGAACCCTGAAAATGGGAAATCGAACGAAAGAGAAACAAACCAACAGCTCGAGCAAACCAGCCTGTATGATGACATATACTTCAATAATAAGAAACCAAAAATATATAGTAAACACAGGACAGGGTTAATGGTAATTAAATCGCGGTTTCCAGACGGTATATAAAAGAAAAGGCCCTAAATGGAAGAGTTAATTGGATGTCTGACGTTAAGGGTAATGGCTTTGCTTTCCCGTCTTCAGAGACTGAAAAGGCATGGCGCACTCTGCCTTAGGCATAGCCTGCCAATACTAACTCTGGAGCGACTGAATTCGACCTTCCGGATCCACTTTTTGTGGTGAAAGCAGAAGTGAAGCACCGACTACCGTTCTTGGATATTCTTATTTGCCGCCAAAGGGACGGCAAACTGGCAACGTCAGTCTTCAAAAAACCGAATAACATGTTGCGAATGCTCAATTCGAATATAAACCACTCACTGCAGCAAAAACGCTAGACCGGAGGGTAGGAACTCACTGCAGTACAGCAGCCGCTCAACGAATCGGTATGGAGCTTCTGAAGAAACTTTTCGGAGACAACGGCTATCTACGAGTGTTGATTGAGCGGAATCGTCTGCCATAAAAAAGCGGAAAGAAGAGCACTGACAGCTGATGTTACAGCAGACCATTTCGTGTAAGAAAATGGTCGCCGAAACCGTGGCTAGATGCCTCGCGCCTGTTAGAAAACCAGTTGCCCACAAACCTAACTCAACAACCAACCAGCAAGTAATTTGACCAAAAGACCATATCCCTAATCACGAGAAGTCATTGTTTACCAACTTCAGTGAACTTGCTAAATGTGTAACGATGCTGCAGAAACCGGCCGACAGCTACAGACGCGAATACATGAACAGAAGTTGGCAGTACCATGGTTGAACCCAGTCAGAGGTAGCAACCCATGCCGTGCAGATGTAGCACATATTCAGCTATGAGACCGTTTAAATTGTGAGCCGAGACGAGAATCACACACTAAAGCAGATAAAAGAAGCCTGGATGTCCCCCGATTGCTCACTCAACCACGACATTAACTGACCTGTCAATTATCTGGTTTTACAAACCTTCTTGACAGGATACAGCGCCGGCATGGGACAATTGAGGCCGCCAATTATCTGCGCGGCCGACAAGGGCAGGGGGAAACAAGTTATAGTAAGATGTGGATCTAGTGCAGCCCTAGAGTCTGCATATGTATGCTACGCACCAGGCAAATAACCGCATATAATGAGAACTGTGTGCACCGCTATTCAGGCTCTGAAGGTGGCTAAGCGAAACTACTTACCGAAACGTCAACCAGCCAAAAAAGATAGCTCTCCAGTGAGGATCTGAGTTTTGAAAGCCTCTAGGAGATTACGCCATCAAGCTCTGCTTGCTATTGATTAGATGTTAAAGGGCACCACCACCGGAAATAACATTTGCAGAACGCTGGGCGTAAATTTTACGAAATCTCATCACCACGGCCAAGCATAATTCACTGCCAAAAAAACTATAGTCCTCAAGTCGCCTGACGGCTATTATCAAAAGAATTACCTGTACGTGCACAAACCGAAAATGACGTGTCAATTGAACTTGGTCCTAACGGCAGTCTAATGAGAGGCAAATTTTCGTCAAGTATTAGGAATTGGCTTCGCTCTGACACTTTTTGAAAATATTTCACTGAAAACAACTCCAGCTAATTACTTTTCTAGCAGTGGCAGATGCCCAAGTGACACAGACAAATCTCGATAATCGCTTACCGACTCCTCGGCTATTCCTGGATAAATTCAATATGCGCGGAGATTGAAAACCGCATTTAGCTGGTTCCCGTACATAAAAAATCTCGGGTAATGCTAATATCAAAGTGTTCGTTTTCCTGCTGTAGATTAGTATCTACAGCAACATTCTGTTAACATGCAAATACGCTGTAAACTGAGCTTCTGTCAGGGGAAAACGCGCGGGTGCATAATACAACTGAGCAACGTTATGAGAGAAAGAGGTTCGAATTAAGGAGAGCGATCATTATTAAATGTTTTCGTGCAGCAGGCGTTTTAGAGACGCATGCAGCCCCGAGTGGACGGGAATTTTGATGGTTGGATCAAATATTGGGAGCCTAGCTGAAAGTGCCGCAACCACTTGCGGCCCAGGACGAAGACCATGGCAGCAGTAATTGGCCAGGGGGCTTTCTAGAGGTCTATCTGTGGACCAAATACGTCGCCTTGATTAAGTTTTACAGGGAGCCTACTTGCGATATGATTTAACTTACCTGTGCAAATTGCTTATTTTTCACTCAATCTGTCTGTACTGTACCACACTTCGGATGGAATCGCCTATCACCGTTTCATTGGTTTTTAATTAAGCCTTTGGTGCCCTGTTTGTTGATAAGTATAACAAAAAACAAAAAAATGTTTACACACTCGTGAACGGATCGGTTATGCCAAGGTGATTTGCCTTGTTGCCAGAGTTGAAGCCAATCTCCATCCTTAAAATGTGGGGGCGTTTTGTCCTCTGTCATGTTCAGGACTTGTGGAGTTGGATATTCAAAATTAGTTAAAGATGTCTTTCTAAAAATAAAATAAACCAAATGTGGAGACTGGATTTACGCAGAAAAAAGAGATGCAGCTGTACCAAGCCGAAGAGTTTAGGTGGTATCTATCTATGTTGGTGCATAGGCGCTCACCGTCCCGTTCTACCTTGTGGTTCACTTTTAAGCCCCACCGGCAGCTATACAGGCGCTAATATTTAAGGCTGGAGAACATTTATGACAAAGACCAGCCTCTCTGGCCTTTGCCAGCACTGTTCTCCAGTAAAATATTCACAGTCCAAGGTCCGAATGAAATAGAGACAAATATTAATTGAACGGCCGCGTTTCAAACTCTTACGCGAAATTACGTCAAGGTATAAAGGATTGTAAAATTCCTTGATATCTAAATCACCCAGACTAGAATAATCTTCGGCGACCCCGAGAATCTTCGACCTGTCGGACGACCTAATATCACGCCTGCTGGCGGAGACGTGAAGCTCGACTGACAAATCGGTAAACAGACACTGCGCAACAAAAAAACTCGCTGATGAAGGTCATTCTCAACCCGTAATGCCTATTCTACAAACAAGTAGTACTATAAGTCATATGAAATTTATATGGGTTGCGGCACAAATTGTTTGTAGAATATACATTATGTGGTTATTCCATCCTAGTTTATTGTCTTCGAGATAAGTTCGCACTTAAATTTACAGCCTAACCCTTAAATATCAAATCCCGGCTACTTACCTTCAAGCTCTACAATTAACCATTTCTAGAATTATTGCTTTGATTTCTCTCTTCTACTCGAGGAATTTCCAGTGAATTAACTGTTACACATCGAGAAGCGATCAGACCTCAAAACTACCTTTATTGATTCGGAAAAGAGAGATACAAATGGCGAATCATACAAAAAGGAGCATTTTGTGTGGAAGTCGTGCAGCAACTTGATTGAACAACAGCTAGCATGGCTCAGCTGGCCGGGCATTCCAAAGGGGAATAGAGCATGGCGCGAAGATGGCACCACGGGAGATCTCTCCACCCCGGATTGTCTTTTTTCCAAAGTAGCTGGACCTTGGCGTGTGTGCCTGTGATGGTGAAAGCAAAAGAACACGTTAGCCTTATTTTCTTAATCAGACAGATTTACAGCCCAATGCTCCCTTTCTGTAAATTACAATACATCAGTGAACAGGGGTTGCACAGGTTAGAGCGACTTAAGAACTGACCTCTTATATGACCCCTAAAGGGTTCTTATCTGAAAGGCGAAAGGGAGAGA